GACGGAGTTTCTCTCTTGTTACCCAGGCTGGAGTGCAATGGCGCGATCTCAGCTCACCGCAACCTCCGCCTCCCGGGTTCAGGCAATTCTCCTGCCTCAGCCTCCTGAGTAGCTGGGATTACAGGCACGCGCCACCATGCCCAGCTAATTTTTTGTATTTTTAGTAGAAACGGGGTTTCACCATGTTGACCAGGATGGTCTCGATCTCTTGACCTCGTGATCCACCCGCCTCGGCCTCCCACAGTGCTAGGATTACAGGCTTGAGCCACCGCGCCCGGCCTCAAGCCACATAATTTAAACTCTATCTTTCCAATAACCCACCTTCAATAAAATCGTGTTTATTTTTCTCTCCATGAGGAATGAAAATGAATCATCGACAAAGACAGACATTCACCCTCCATTAAAAAATAAGTCTTGTTGACACATTTCTTGGAAGTATAGATTTATTTATAAATAAGCCCTAATTTGACATATCTAGAAAACACTTTTCTTTACTATTCTTTGTACTGTTCTGCTTCTTGTTTAATGAGTTATTTCTGTGGATAGTATGATTACAATACTTACAAAAATGTCAACGTTATTCATAGAATGACAACAAATGTAATATATTTTTTCTTTTTATTATAAAGCTGGTCAGTGTGAAAAATCTGAGCTTAAAGACAATTCTTGATGATTCTTTGGGGAGAACTAGAAACACCACCCTCTAACTTTACAACGAGTGGTTGGTCCCTCAGCAAAGTGTTCAGACATGCTGGTTAACCCACCCTTCAGCTGTCAAAGATTCAACAGACTAAGAATTAAGTGAAAAAGCCTACGTACCACCTATTTCACTAAGGGCACTACCTTACATATGTAAACAGTCCCTATAGATCAATAAGAAAAGGATCCATCATGCATATAAAAACAAAGGGCAATTCAAATGTTTCCCGGAAATGGAACACAGATGATTTTCAACACATGGATTCTCACTCAAGATAGAGCTACAATGCAAGACAGTCCATTTGATATCATTTTTCAACAAAGATATTGGCAATAATCAGAACGTTGGTAAGTCTCTTAGGAGACAGATCTGAGCCATCATTTAAGTCTTGGGCATTTACAAACCTTCTATGGGGAATGGTCTGATGGTGTCCGTAAACAATTAAACATGTACATCCTTGGTTGACCCTCACAAAGGGTGGAGAGGATAAGGCATTTGTGATGCGTCAATACATTCTAGAGAATCTACAATGTCATCTCCACACACCTGAACCACAGGTAACATCCTATAGGTATTTGTTCAAGGAAGCAATGAAAGGGTGACATAAATAGCCAAGCAGTTCCTGTTACTGTGCTCACCCAGTTTTATGCACTCCAAGTTATCAGGAATGTCAAAATCAGAAGTGGTAACTCCAGTGCTGGAAAAAGCCAGCTGAGTGTGCCCATCAATATCCTGAGAATAATGGGATGTGAAAAGGTGTCGAATTCTCAACAGAAGGCAGACTGCTTAGATGACCCCCACCCAGAACTGAAATTGAAGGCAGCATTTCTGAGTTTGGAAATGGGAAAGGCCCAGCATTTATAACTGACTCCTTCATGCAACCTCTTTCCCCAAATCAGACGTCTTTTTACATGGGCATGGCAACACCATACCTTTGTGTAGAGAGATTCATGGGAAACCTAGCTTCTGCGACACGCAGCAGCTCTCAACACCATCAGTGGCAAGATGAAACATTCCCCTGAAACTGTCTTTCTCTGGATGACTCTTTTAACGGCTTCACATTAACCTGCCTGTGCCACCGCAGACAACTGAAGATACCCTAATTTTCCGGTGGAGGGAAGTCTATGGATGAAGTCAATCCCATTCTGAATGTCAGGACTTTAGATCTTTCCGAGATTAGCACAAAAGGCAAGTGGAGCCCTCTCCAAGCTTTTATAGACACACATGCATTCTGGAAGCATTGCAATGTGTGCATTGCCCTCAGTGGGGAACCAGTTCTCAATGTGGAAAAGTTGTCATGTGTTGCAGAGAAGAGAACAGGCTTTCAGTTAATCCCAACTTGTTAGAAAGGGTATGAGGATCTTCTTGACCACAAAGCTGTGTGACCCCCACATTCAACCCACCTTTTACATCAAAGTAGTTCAACACTATGTGAAGACTGGACAGACTCTTAGCAAATTTGTGATATTTAACCCATATGAAACTCAAGAGAACACAAGGGAGTATCTGGGTGCAGGTGAGTATCAGGATGCAGAATGTAGCTGGATACAGGGAGCATCTGGATGCAGGGAGTACCTGGATACAAGGCAGTATCTGGATGGAGGAGAGTAACTGGATGAAAGGTAGTATCTGGATACAAGGGAGTATCTGGATCAAGGAGAGTATCTGGGTGGAAGGGAGTAACTAGATTAAAGGGAGTATCTGGATGGAGGAAACTAAAAGGAAGGGAGTATGTGGCTAGAGGAGAGTAACTGAATAGAAGGGAGTATCTGGATGGAGGAAGAGTATCTGGATGGAAGGGAGTATCTGGATGGAGGAGAGTATTTGGATGAAACAGAGCATCTGGATGCAGGGAGTATCCAGATATAGGGAGTATCTGAATGGAGGAGAGTACCTGGATACAGGGGGTATCTGGATGCAGGAAGTACCTAGATTCAGAGAGTATCTGGATTCAGGGGAATAACTGGAAGCAGGAAGTATCTGAATTTGGGGTGGGTACCAGAATGTAGGGGATATCTGGATGCAGGGAGAACATGGCTACAAACCAGAATCTAAATGGAGGAGAGTATCTGGATGTAGGGAGTACAAGAATTTAGAGGAGTATCTAGAAGCAGGGAGCATCTGGACTCAGGGGTGTACCTCGATGCAGGGACAGTACCTGGATACAAGGGAGTATCTGGATGGAGGACAGTATCTGGACGTAGGGACTACCTGGATTCAGAGGAATATCTGGATACAGAGGAGTATCTGGAAGCAGGGAGTATCTGGACTTGGGGGGTAACCTAGCTGCAGGGAGCATATCTGGAAACAGGGAGTATCTGGATGGAGGAGAGTATCTGGCTGGAGTATCTGGGTGCAGAAGAGCACTGGTCTCAATGTGGCAGGACAGGGGAAAGGAAAAGAGCCCTAAAAGGAAATTTTGGAAATAAAGAGCTGGCAGTTAGGTTGAAAATTCTACCTTAAAGCCCCAGAAAAAGACAACTTGGAACCCATCCAATTAAATGCCTACAGCCTTCTTTAACATCTGCCCTCGGTGAAACATTTAGGTAAGAGAAAGTACTTGGTTTCTAATTTCTTTTTATTAGTCTGACATGAAAAAGAAATGTCTTCACAAATAAATGAAATACTGAAGAAACAAATTGAAGGGCTTACCTTATTTTAATTAAAAAAAGGTCAAAGCGACCGTGGGAGCTTCAGACGTGCTCAATGCACACATGATTTGTAAACAACCGAGATTCCGGACAACGGTGCCTTGGTGGGGTTGATATTTGACTTATAGGGACGTAATAATGGCCAGCCTTTCACATCCCATGGGAAACCCCGCTGGGTCTTGGAGAATGGGGGTCCAAGTCCCTGTCCCCGTTTGGATGTAAAATTCAGCGTTAGTAAACAACATCCACCCAGCAACAACAAGCAAAGAACATCGCAAGATTAAAACAAGGAATCCGCCATGAACAGAAGGCCTCCGTCTCTGTTCTCATGCAGGTGTTCTTTGGGGAGGAGCCTCCGGTAGGTGTCCTAACCCTGCTGCCAACAGCTGGGCTGTTTCCGCCGACAATCTTCTACTTCTCTAAAAGAGTACGCTGAACTGTGGGAAGCAGGGAGAAAAGAAAGTCATTCCCAGTTCCCTGAGTACTCACATAAACAGGGCTTCCTAAAACTTTCAGGAGCCAGTGATTTTATTTCCGCATAAAAAAAATGGGTCCAAAGTTCATCACGAAAAAAGCAAAACCCTAAATCTCAACCAATTCGATCAATTTCATTGAACGATGCCATACATACAAAAAAAAAATGGATACTGCAGAAGCAGCATAAGGAAAACCAGGGAAGACATTTTCTACTAACGATGTCACAGAGACAGTAACAAATGTCTGTTATTTACCAAATGGCAGAATACCTGCTCTCAATGAGAGTATGCAGTTTTTACTGATCTGAAAGATACAGGGCTGAGATTTTCTGGTCTGTTCATTTAAGTTTTGGAAGCTTTATTTTGCATGTCGGTCTTAAAACTATTTCGGAGGGAGAAGCTGGGATTTGGAAGAAGGAATTAAAGACAATGGCATTTTTCTTCCAAATAGGCTGGCAGGAAGCACTGGAATGCAAAGCCCTTCGGGTAACAAGAGCCCCACACATATATGCCAACGTGCTTGCTAATGAAGCTAGGCAACTTCATTACAATGGGCAGAAGAAATATTCCTTCTCTCTTTAAGATAATAGCTTGTTCTGAACATCTTTCCCTGAGTTGAAAGAGCGGTCAGCAAGACATCAACTTTTTTTTTTTTTTTTAAAGACTTGGTTTCTCCATGTTGGTCAGGCTAGTCTCAAACTTTCAACCTCAGGTGATCTCCCTCCTTGGCCTCCCAAAGTGCCGTGATGACAGGTGTGAAACGCCATGAAGACACTAACTTTCTAAAAGTCTCTGTCTTTAGAGCTTTTTAAAGTTCAAGGCCAAGTGTGGTGGCTCATGCCTGTCATCCCGACACTTTGGGAGGCCGAGGTGGGCAGATCACTTGAGGTCAGTAGTTACAGGCCACTCTGGCCAACATGGTGAAAGACCCGTCTCTATTAAAAATACCAAGAAAATTAGTGGGGCATGGTGGCGCGTGCCTGTAGTCCCAGCTACTCAGGAGGCTGACGCAGGAGAATCGTTTGAACCTGGGAGGCGGAGGTTGCAGTGAGGCGAGACCGCACAACTGCACTCCAGCCTGGGTGACAGAGAGACACTCCATCTCCACACACACACACACACACACACACACACACAAATTAGAATACTTTAAATCATTTAATTAAAAATACATCTCAATTTGATGGCTCCTATTAAAAATAAATGTTGCATCTCTCAGGCAAAAGGTTCCAGCTTATGCACAAATAAAAGGCAGAAACACATGCATATATATACACACGTACGCTTCTTTCTTGCCATTTTCAAAAGTGGTTCTGACGGCAAAATGCCTGCCTTTTACCCTGAGAAACTTCTCACGAATTAAAGAGATTCCTCTTGACCACATTTTGCACCTGGTTGGGAGGATTTTTAGAAAGTGACAGCAGGCTGGGTGCACTAGCTTACTCCTGGAATCCGCGCACTTTGGGAGGCTGAGGTGAGGGGATCCGTTGAACTCACGATGGCCAGCATAGTGAGACCCTGTCTGGGCAACCTGGTGAGACCTTGTCTCTACAGAATAAAAAAAACAAATCGGCCAGGCATGGTGGTGCATGCCTGTGGTCCCAGCTAATCAGGTCAGGAGGCTGAGGTGGGAGATTCCCTTGAGCCCAGGAGGCTGAGGCTGCGGTGGGTTACGGTCGTGCCACTGCACTTGAGCCTGGGCGACAGTGAGACCCTATCTGTGCCAACAAAACAATGGTTTACAGCAAAACTTGACAAGCTATACTTCAGGAGATCGACTTGTAATTCCCAGCACACAGCAGCCAGCTGTGGACTTCCTGATGAGGCACTGATGGTGTGCTACAGTCTCGCTGGGTCGCCGGGGCAGGAGTGCAATGGCTGCGGTCTTGACTCCCTGCAACCTCCCCCTCCCGGGCTCACGTGACTGTCCTGCCTCAGCCACCCGAGTAGCTGGGATTACAGGGACCCGCCACCACACCCAGCTAATTTTGTGTTTTTAGTAGAGATGAGGTTTCACCATGTTGGCCAAGCTGGTCTTGAACTCCTGGGAAAACTTCCTCAATCTTTTCTTAAAGAGAGACTTAGGCACATATATGTCTTCTCTGGAGCCCAGGCCCTAGACAGCTGATACATTCATCGACTCTTCAAAGAATCCCTCAAAAGCAACAAGACATGAAGGAACACATTCAAAGCCAAGCAACCAACTTTGAGAACGTGAGCAGAACGGCAAGATGGGAGCAGGCAGAGAACATAAAATAGGAACACTGGCCGCATGTGCGAGCCGTCGTTCCCCATCCTTCTTACCAGCTGGCTCTGCGCTGGTGTTCCGGTGACTCTCCATGTCCACCTCCCCTTGTTCTGCTGAAAACAAGAAGGAAACACGCAGAGAGGCTCAGTGCAACAGAGAACCCACTCCTCAGAATGCACGCCAGACAACTGGGCTTCTCTGAGATTGACGCTCCTATCGCTTGGACCAGAGTGCTCAGTTCAAAACCC